AGTCGGGCGTCGGGCAGGGCCAGATGTACCTGGCGGCCACCGTGTGTGACCCAGGGTCGCGCCATGGGCGCATTTAGAGGGCGTGCAGGTGCCGGGTGCTCTGGCGGGGCTGCGGGAATCCCAATCCCAGATGAGGGCCGAGGGCGAGCCGATAGCTGCCCACGGCCCAGGGCATGCACCATGTGGCCTGGAGACCAGGCGACCTTTTGGGGTGTCAGGACCTCAGTCTTGCTGGTGGTAAAAGTCCATGGCAAATGCCTTCTGTGAGCCTTCTGGCCTGGGGGCCTTTTAGGCTGCGGTTTTAGCAAAGGCTGATGGGGAATCGGTCATGGTGGCCAGCGATGGCCAGTGTGGGCTGCACAGTAGAAGAGGGTCTGGGCTTGGACACTCACTGGGGTTCTGGTGTCCACCCTCCCGCCATGTTGGAGGCAGCTGGGCGGTGAGTGGAAGGGGTGGAGGCTTTGTCCATCAGCCGCCTGCACCCGCTGCATCCTGTCTGGGCATGTCAGTCATGTCTAGATGCCCCATGGCCACTGCCTGAGAGAGCAGGGATGCCTGAGTGGTAGAGGAAAGAGGGGGTCACATGTGCACATGTGGGGTGGACACTGTGAGTTAGTGGGTTCCGCAGAATGAGGTACGGAGACGCCCCAGAGCCCTGCAGGTGAGGTCTGAGCCTGTCTGGCCGCGTCTTGGAGTGTGGGAGTGCCCGGGGTGATTCTTCACCAGGAGGGGTGGCCCTGCAGTCCAGGGTGACCCCTGTTCCCACTTCTTGTGAGGGTCGAACACTGTCTTGGAGTGGGACCCTCAGGCCCCAGGGCCCCAGGGCTGCTGTCTGCTGCGGTGGCGCGTTCTGGTGGGTGCTGCCCGTAGGCGTGTGGGAGATGGACGGCGACTGTTGAACAGAATGCCGGTTTTATTCCTGTGCTCCGTGCAGGGCAGCGTGACGCTCCAGGACGTTGCCGTGCGCTTCTCCTGGGAGGAGTGGGGCCTCCTCGACCAGTCTGAGAGACGCCTGTACCTCGATGTGATGCTGGAAAACTTTGAGCTCATCTCTTCTCTGGGTAAGACCCTGCCGCCCATGCCCTGCTCCCGTGCAGGCCGTGGCCACTGCTGGCTTCCACAGCGCCTGGGTTTTTGCTCCTCGCCGCCTGCTCCCTGAAGCCCTGACACCCAGTATTGGGCACCCAGGCTGGGAAGTCTGAGTCCTGTGCTTGTAGACTGAGAGGATGGAGTCCACCCTGTGTTCCCTCTTCCTGGTTGGGCCGATCCCTGGGGTTTCTGTCCCCCACATGTTGACCATTTCCTTCAGCTGGTATTTCATGCTGTCTGGCTATGACAAGAATAGTAAGTTTTGTCATGATCACCAGCAGGACTGGGGGCTACTTTTCCAAAGAATCCTGTAAAGGAATTTTTGTAGCGTTTCGGACACTTTCTTACTCCACCTCTATTGAACTGTAAATTGAGAAATAAAATCTGGTATATTTGGGACCTTCCTGGGGGCCTCGGGGTTGAGTCTCAACGCTCTCACCCCTACAGCCTGAGTTCTATCCCCAGCCAGGGAGTGACCCACAGGGCGCAGCAGACCTCCCCTGTCTCCCCGCTGTTCCCTCAGCAGTGTACTTCGTCGATCTGCCTGTTCTTCTCCCCGCTGTCTCTGGTGAATCCTCTCACCCGTCATTTCTCAGGCCTATATCCCTGTTCTTTGCAAAAATAAATAAAATCTTTCCAAATAAAACTATGGCCATTGCACTTGCATTCTGAGACATTTCCTGTAATGCAATCAACCGATGAGCCCGTCGACCTTCTTCTGCCTGTTTTGTGAAGAACGTTAAAGATGAATGTGCCTGACAGGTGTGCACAGACTGCGGGAGTGTGATGCAGCATTAGTGGCCGTGGCTTAGTCACCCCCGTACCTGAGGTGTTCCAACTTTCACCGCGTTACACCTGAAGTGTTTCTGGGCTTCTGCTACGTTTGTCATGCGGGCCCCTAGTTACCTTCCCCACGGTATTGTCCTGTTTTTCTGTCCCTCTGGCTTATTTCTCGTAGCACAGAGAACTGCCACACCCGCGCGACAGGCTGCAGTGTGCCTTCTTCTATAATGCTGCACTTTGTACGCACATGCCACTTTCTTTATCGGTTCGTCGGGGTGTCCTCGGTTTCTCTAAGCAGAAACGGGTCCGCCCCGTCTGTCCTGCTCGGGCTGTCGTGACGCGCACGTCGGCTTGCCTCCCCCAGCTGCTGTGGGCTTTCCTCCCGTGTTGCCTTGAGTTTTTCTCCCCCTACTGGATAATCCATCGAGCTTCCTTCAGGTCACAGATTCTTCCGCTGCTCGACGAAGTCGTCTGCGGGGTCCTCTGGCGCGTTCCTCTGTGTACTCCTCGGCGCCGGAATTTGTTCGGGTCTTGGGCCGTCAGCCCTGAATCGTCAGCATATTTTCATTCCTGTGAGCAGTTGAAGCCAAAGAAATGACGGTAGCTTCACTGTTCCCCAACTTTTTCAGGAGCATCAGATTTCACATCATTGTGTGGCGTGCTGTCTGTCACGTGCTTTCTGCCAGTGTCCCGGCCCTGAGCCTTGGCTGTGCTTTCTGCCCGAAGGCGGTGCTGGCGTCGGGACGTTTGGCCTTTGCTAGTCTGAACCCCCACTGAGGGCTGTGTGTTCGTGAGCGGTTCCGTGTCTTGATTGGCCTTGACGCAGTTTCCGCGTTGCTCTTGGGTTCCGCAGGACTTGGAGGTGCGCCCTGCTCTCACAAGCGGTGGAGGCCTGGGGGCTGTGGGCAGGGGTGCACGGTACGTGCTCTTCCTTGCGCACGTGGGAGGCCTCCGCCATTCTGCTGCTCGAGCAGGGCTCCTGCTCCTGAACTCCAGCGCCTGCGCACTGGGGTGGCCGGCGCGTGGTGTTGGACCGACCCTCCCCCGCAGCCTGAAAGTGCTTCACCGGTGTCTCTTGTGTTCAGGTTGCTGCTGTGGCGCAGAGGCTGCGGCGCCCGCCTTGGAGCAGGGCGTTTCTGCAGGCGAGTCTCAGCCCCACGCTCCCAAGGCGGCGCCTCCTTCCCAGAAGACCCACCCCTGTGAGATGTGTGGCCCGGTGTTGAGAGACATTTTCCTCGTGACTGAGTACCTGCGAACACAGCGCGGGCGCTTGCTGCTGAGGTGTGGGGCGTGTGCCAGACGGTTTTCTTTTGGGGTGAACTCGAGCGATGGCCGAGAGCGGCACATGGAGGAGAAGGCCCCCAGGCGCAGTGTGGACTGGTCCTCGTTCATCAAGAGCTGCGGCGTCCAAGTGTCAGAGCACCCCCCTGCCTGCCGGGAGGTTGGGCCAGACGTCCTGGCCGTTGTGGGACCGCTGCAGCCTCCGGTCGCTCGTTGTGGAGACGAGCCAGGCACAGCCACCCAGCGTGGGGCAGCGGCACAGGGCAGTCGGAGCCGTGGCGCCCCGGGAGCACGCACCAAGGCCTGCAGCACCAAGCGCCCGCTTGTTCAGGACCAGGGAGGCCACGCGGGAAGGCAGAGTTTTGCGTGCAGTGACTGTGGGAAGACGTTCAGGTCCGAATCCTCCTTTGCCGGGCACCGGACAGTCCACGCTGGAGGAAGAGCCGGTGTCCCTGGTGAACGCAGTGAACCCGTTAGCCAGAGCCCCGGCCTCAGTGAGCATGTTCGAGTGCGGGCGCGCGCGAGGAGGCGCCTGAGCCAGGCTGCGCGGCTCTCCCGGCCCCGGCTGCGGCGCGGCGGCGAGGGCGGCTCTGTGTGCAGCAAGTGCTCCGTGCCCTCTCCCCACAGCCCGAAGCTCCTTCAGCACGGGAGCGCGCCGACGCGGGAGAGGCCGTACAGCTGCCACTGCGGGAAGTGCTTCACCTCCACCTACAGCCTCAGCTGTCACCAGCGAGTCCACACCGGCGAGCGGCCCTACGCGTGCGCCGAGTGCGGGAAGGCCTTCGCCTTCAGCTCTAACCTCCGCTACCACCAGAAGGTCCACAGGGGGGACAGGCCCCACGGCTGCGCCGAGTGTGGGAAGTCTTTCATCACTCGGGCCGCGCTGTCTCACCACCGCAGGCTGCACACCGGCGAGAGGCCTCACTCGTGCGGCGAATGTGGGAAGTCTTTTAACAAAAGGTCGACGCTCATCCAGCACCTGAGGGTTCACACAGGCGAGAAGCCCTACGCGTGCGGCGAGTGCGGGAAGGCCTTCACCTCCAGCTCCAGCCTCCGCTACCACCAGAGGTGGCACGCGGGCGAGCGGCCCTACGCGTGCGGCGAGTGCGGGAAGGCCTTTACCTCCAGCTCCGGCCTCCGCTACCACTACAGGGCTCACTCGGGGGAGAGGCCGTACGCGTGCAGCGAGTGTGGGAAGGCTTTTTCCTCCAGTTCCAGCCTTCGACTGCATCGGAGAGTCCATGACGGAGAGCGGCCGTACGCGTGCAGCGAGTGCGGGAAGGCCTTTACTTCCAGTTCCGGCCTCCGCTACCACTCTGGAGCCCACACGGGAGAGAGGCCTCACGCGTGCAGCGAGTGCGGGAAGTGTTTTTCCTCCCGGTCCAACCTCAGTTTACACCAGCGAGTTCACACGGGAGAGAGGCCTTTCGCGTGCTCCGAGTGCGGGAAATGTTTTACCTCCAACTCCCATCTTCTCGTTCATCAGCGAGTTCACGCGGGAGAACGGCCACATGAGTGTAGTGAGTGCGGGAAGTCTTTTGCCTCGAGCCCCTGTCTCCGCTGTCACCAGAGGATTCACGCAGGCGCAAGGTCCTACGTGTGCGGCGAGTGTGGGAAGACGCTTCCCAGTCGCTCCAAACTCTGTTTCCAGCAGCGGGCCCACCCCGGAGCGCGGCTGCAGGAGTGCGCCTCGGGAGAGTGCGCACACTAGAGGAGAGGCTTAGATTTTAGCAGGAGTGCGGTTTCCTGTCAGCACGACTTTGCACGCGAAGACACCGGGCGCGCTCCCGTCTGAATCGAGGCTCGTGCCGCTGAAGGATCGCGTGGCGTTTCCCCGCAAGGTGCAGCTACGCGGGAGGCCGTGTGTTGGTGTTGGGCTTTCTGACCTGCCCGGGCTCTCGCTAGGTTTCTGTCTGTGCGTCTGCGTGTCGGGCTCGTGTCCCCGCTGCCACCAGACAGCCGCCCGCATGGCCCGCGCCAGCCACCCCTCAGGGAAGGCCACTGCACTTTCGTACTAGAGTAATGAGCAGTCGCCTGACCCTGCAGCAGGTCTGTTTTCCCTCAGCTACCTTGGGCTTGAACCTCAATTGGCGTGACCCAGACCACATCCACGAGTTTGAAGACCCACAGTTTTCAGATCTGTTGATTTTCGTGTTACCTGCATGAGTGTGTCCGGCTTCCACGCTCCTGACTGCCACCGTGGCCCTGGTGGCTCAGGAAGGAGGTCTTCAGGGTCTGCGTGCGCTCGGCTGTGAGGGGAGAGCAGCTTTCAGAGGCTCCACTCTTTGGAGCAGACGTCAGAAAGGAGCCTGCTGGCTGTCCGCGAATTTGTGTCGTCGCCCACACACACAACCTCCTTCGGGAGACAGCGGCAGCGGAGCCTGGATGTCGTGTGCTGTGTGAGGGTGACCGCATGGAGCAGTAGGATGTGTGTCGAGGGCTGCTGAGAGCAGCCTGCTTCTCTCGTGTTGAGACGGCACGGTGCGCCAGCTCCCGGCTCTGGCGGGGGTGTCCCTGCGGCTGTGGGAAGAGCCACGTGGCCTCCCGTCCCAGACATAACTGGGGAGGGTCCCGGGCTGGGCCGCAGCCAGTACAGAAGCCGGGGGGCTGCAGCCAGCCGGGGGGGCGCCGCTGGGACAGGCGCGTCTGGAGGCAGCCTGCCGGGCTGCAGGCGGCTGGCCTCAGGTCCCGGCGCTTCCAGGCAGCTTCCCCTTGGGTAGCTGAGGCCGGCAGAGGAAGGGCCGCTCGCGGGGCAGTTCCTGTGGCCGCCCCTGGCTGGGCAGGAAGGGGCGGCTCACGCGGCAGGGGTGTGACCTCGTGACCTGACAGCGCGTCGCCAGCCTGGAAGTGCCCTGGCCGGGTGCCCCTGGCCTGGTGCCCGCGGCTGCTCCTGAGGGCAGGCCCGCCCCAAGGGCCCGCGGCAGGGAAGTGCAGTCCAGTACGCGGGTGCCGAAGGCCTTTTCCTAACATTGGGACGCGCAGGTTTGTCCTTTCATCATGAGTCAGCTCTACGGACTGCACCGGCCGTAATTTACGTGCCCACGCCGCACCGTTGGAGCTCTGCACGGATGAGGTTTGACAGGTGCAGACTCCTGAGACCGCCCTGTTGGCCCCGCAGCGCCGCTCCCGGCCCCCTTCCCCTAAGCACCTTCGCTGTTTCCAGCTTCTCACTGCTGAGGGGGAGCAGCCACCACGTGAGCCCGCCGGGACACAGCGTCTCCCGGTGAGCCCGAGTGTGCGGCGGGAGAAATGTCCGCTGCTGAGAGCACGCTGTGGTCCGAGCCCTTCGTACCCCTTTGCGTGTACCGCGTGAGCTGCTCTTGTTAAACGTTCTGCCGACACGGGATGCGCTCCGTCTGTGGTTTTATTTTCTTCAGGATTTGCGACTTGCGCGTGTGGCATGTCTTGGCCAGCCGCACGCCCGTCTGGTGGTTTCTGCGTTTGTCATGTTCGGGTTCAGTCCACTCTAAAGCCCTTTCCCTCTTGGATGACTAGCCCCGAGGGGCCAGGGCGGCGCTTTGCACGAGGACACTTGGGGGACACTTTCTTTTCTTTCTGGTTTCTCGCGTCCCTTGTGACGCGAAGCCTGCAAGTCCCCACCGGGGCACGGCCCTCGCTTGTGACCTCCTGTGCCTTCAGCCGGGCCCAGGGCACGCGCCACACGCCCCGTTTCCATCCGTCGGCTCTGGGCCAGGCGCGTGAGGGGCTTTGCCGCTGGAGCCCGTCTGGCGGTGCCCCGGCGCTCAGCAGAGCTTCCACGACTGCCCTCAGCTCCCTTCGGCTCATCGTGTGCTGTGGCCGAGTGTGCCAGGTTCATGTTGGCGACTGAGTGGGAAGTGGCTATACAAGTGCGAGTGGCTACAGTGAGAGCGGCCGCCGGCAGTCGCACGTCTCCACGCCTTAGGCTTGAGCAAGAACAGGGGACAGAAACCGCTCACAATTCGGCTTCTTCGAAAGCATGAGCTGGAACACGGAGCAGCTCAGGAAAGGCCTGTGGCAGGTACGTGCAAATGCGCAGCGAGTGACCTGGCCTCGAAACAGCCACGTGTGCTCCCCAGCGCGAGATGATCAGGACCAGTTCACGAAGTGCCGGGCAGAGGAGGCTTCCCTGACGCAGGCTGGACTTGCTGCCGGAGCCAGGGTCTCAGGGTCACAGCGAGGTAGTGAGTGGCGGGTCAGCAAGTGTGTGGGGTAAGCTGCCCCTGTCCTGTAGCCCGCGCAGCCCGGACACCAGGCACTGCAGCGCCTCCCGTGCCCAGGTGCGCGGTGCTCGGTGCCCTCTGCGTTTGCTTCTACCGCCCCAGCTTCCTGCCATGACGCAGCACTCAGTTACAGAGTAAACCCATCTGGTTTGTCGTGTTTGACCGTGTCCGCGGCTAACTTCTGCCGTGAAAGTGGCCATGTTTTGCAGCCACAAGTTCTGCTGCAGACATTGCACCCCGTTTGCCTCCTCCAGACCCCACCTGTGAGGTGGTCAGGAGGTCAGTCCCTCCAAGCTTCCACCCACAAGTTCATCTGGCCCCTGCTGTTACTGTTGAGTGGTGTCTGGGCTGGTTTTGCCCCCACTTTGACTCTGGGAGTATAGGCTGATGGGGGGGTCTACCCTCCTGGGTGAGGTGTGCCCTCACCACGGCTCTCAGGCTGAGGAGATGCCCGGGGAGGATCTCATGGCCATCACACAGTCCAAGGCCGGCCTTTTCTGCGCCTATGTCCCGAGGGCACCTGCTGGGGTCTCTTCCTGTCGTGCATGCTGCCTTCAAATCACAGGGCCTTTGTGGCCTGAGGTTCTCCAAGGGCGCAGTGTGAGAAAAGTGGGTGAGCACAGGTGGGTTGGTGAGAACTGCCAGGCCTCCATGATGGGTGGGTTGGGGTGGAGGGCTGGAGGGTGCTGGCCCACCTGAGGAGGTGACTGGGCCTGTGGCTGCCTCTGCAGGCTCCTCTCCCACTGCTGGGCCGCACTGTCCTGGGTGGTGCTGAGCGGCCACAGCACCTGCAGCAGGCCAGCGGTTCCTTTGGACCGGCAGTTCCACATCCCCCAACCCAGGGCACCCGCTCTGGCCGGGGTCCCACGAGCCTCTTGGGCAGCCGATGTGTAGTTGGGAGGCTGCTGTTGTAAAAAGCAGGACGAGCCCAGTGGCAGACCACGACTGTTCAAAAGCATCGGTAAGGAGACGACGTTTACAATGAACCACAGGCCTAAGAGTGCAGAGGGCGTCTAGATTGACGCCTGAAGAACCGCATGCAGGTGAAGGTTATAGTGATAAATTCCAGAAAACAGAAGGGCACATTTTGGAAAGGAGCTGCGGGGAGATGCCTACCCTGAGAGAAGCCCACCCACGCCAGCCCTGTAAGCCAGAGGGGGCGGGAGTGAGATGCTTAAGGTCGCACTGAAGCCCCAGCCAGACTCTGGCAGACATCGCTGGACAAGCCCGAAGGGATGGGGGGAAGGGCGGCCTGGCCTGCCTACTGGGCACATTCCCGTCCTGACGCACACTTCACACAGGTGAACGTTGGGTACCAGCAGGCAGATCTGGGAGGGGCGGATGCCCGCCTTGAGCCCAGCCCCTGGGATGTGTGAGCAGGTCAGGCCGCGCCCAAAGTTGGGGCCACTGGTCCTACGGGCAGGCCTTGCTCTCCGCCCCTCTGTCAGCAGGATTTCATTAAATGGCCACCTGCACTGCCCTCTGGTCAGACCCACCACGCCTCTGGCCTCCCCCTGGGCCTCCTTCCCGGTGTCTAGATGGGATCCTGCAGAGCCCGGGCCTGGGCACCGAGAGCTCGCCCGTGGCTGGCGACTGCTCACTTCAGCCCCCGTCCGTTTCTAGCCTTGTGACGTCCCCGCCCGCGTGTGCTGCTCTTGGCGACAGCCGTCGCGGGCTGGAGGGAGCGCCCAGGAGCAGACGCGCGTCCAAGAACCCGCAGCGCTGCGGCTGAGCTACTGTGCCCAGGGGGCGCCGGCTTCCCGGCCGCGGACT